GGGGGCTCTCAGGAACACAATTGGTCCATTGAGAAAAAAGTGAAATGAAAGAACACAATATATCTCCCCACCCCCATGGTGCCTGGAATTGAAACTAGAGCCTCATGCATAGTAGGTAAGCACTCTACTACCAGGCTACATCCCCAACCCAGTAGACAATATATTCTTAACATGAAGTACAGACAATAGCTTTTCATATGTTTTTGGGGATAACACTTATAGATAGGCCTTGGCATCTAAGGACCTCATTTGCATGGACACCCTCTTCCCAAAGGTCATTTCCACTCAATGTGATTTATGCCCATGTCCCTGGAGGGGGTGTACTGAGTCAATGCCATTGTCAAAATTAAAATTGCACCTGCCTAATAAAACAGTCAGGGAAGACTTTGTTCAAGATTATTGCGATGGGGAGAGGGCCTGAACCAACTCCATTGACCCAAAGGACTGGATAGGTTGACAGATCAGGAAGAGGAATTTCAGTCCACCTGTGGGTGCTAATTGGTCTTCATGACTCTAAAAATAAGCACATACCCTTCCTCAGAGACAGGGAGGCAGGGGTGCTCGCTCCCTCCATGTTCATGTTTCAGAAAAATGATTGTCAGGTCCTTCAGAATTTCCTGAGGGACTGGGGGTGTAACTCAGTGGCACAGTGTGTACTTAGCGTGCAAAAGGTCCAGCATCCCTCCTCCTGCAAAAAAAAAAAAAAAAAGACATTTCTTGGGTTGTGCAACTGGAAGTAGCTGCATCTATTTCAAAGGGGCAGAGAAAGAATTTACAATCCCAAGTTTTAGAGCAAACCCTCTAAGAAAAAGGAGGTCAGGGACCTAGTCAGGAAGAAACTTGTCTAACATTTAAGTAAACTGGGGTGAATGTTGACGCCATCTTGGCCACTCTCCAAGGCAATTCTTCAAAAATTTACTGAAAAATTCATTCCTGCCACTTGAGAAGGATCTTAAACCCAGTGGTACATAAATTTGGAAATTTCATGTCTTAGTACAGGTACATTTTCATGAATAGCCCATTGAAATGAGCACATAAGTGTTTCCTTTTAATACTCTCATGAAAGGCCATTTTGATTGATCAATAAATATTCAGGAAGCATCTAGTCAATGTTACACACCATATTAATCATGACAAGGAGAAAACGTGCCTCCAAAGAGATCTCACAACACTGAAGGAGATAGCTAAATAAGTAAACATTTGAGATATGAGAGTTTCTCAAAATATTAAATATAAGACCCAGGTGTCTGGCCAACAGAAATGAAAGCACGTGCCTCTGCAAACTCTTGTACACAAATGTCTACAGCATCATAATTAATGATAGCCAAAAGATGGAAGCAAACCAATGTCCATTGACTGCTGGTGGATAAGCAAAATCCTGCATATACATATTAGTCATTAATATTCAGCAATAAGAAGGAATGAGGGGCCGATGCATGGTGCATCAAGGATAAACCCTGAAAACAGTCTGCCAGTTGAAAGAAGCCAGACACAAAATGTCACATATTGACTGATTCCATTTAGATGAAAGATCTAGAACAGATAAATCCAGAGACAGATCAGAAATGAGAGGCTACATAAGGCCCTGGGATAGGGAAAATGACGAATGACTCTTAGTGGGTGTAAGGCTTCTCTTGGGGGCCAATAAAAGTGTCCTAAAATTGATTTTTGTGGTGGAGACACAACTTTGTGAATATACTAAAAACCATCGAATTACATACTTTCAATGGGTGAATTGTATGGTGTGTGAATGAATCCTTAAAAATGCTGTGTAAACAAGATGTGAATATAAACATATACATACCTATTTGTTACATGATGTGAAAAAAACGTGAGAATGCTCATCTATAGGAGTCAAGGGGAAGAAGGTGAAATCAGAAAGACTTCAAAGAGGAGGTGAAAGCTGAGATGATAAGGTTTCCCAAAGCCCCATCAGAATGGAAGCCCAGAGCAGCAAGGCCCTTCTGAGGACCCACAGAGAGTTCAGAGATCCCCAGAGCACAGGAGCATGGGGGTCTGGAGGTAGGCAGGGCCTGGGCACTGTGAGGGGTTCATCCTTCCTGCCTGTGAAGCAGTACAGGATGACAGTGGTAAGCAAGACCCTGAGGCCAGGCTCCATGGGCTCAATTCCAGTTCTGGACTTACAGAAGCTGCAGGGCCTTGGGCAAGTCACTTTACTTCTCTGTGCCTTAATACCCTCCTCTGTCATATAGATGGATGACAAAATTAGAATTAATGCACCCGAAGTCCTTGGAATGGTGCAGAGAGGCTCTGAGCACTGTATGCATGCTTATCATGTGACACAATCACAAAACCACTGGATGACTTAAAGCAGCGACCATAGGAGGGTTTTGCAGGAACAATACCCTCCCAGTGACATGGAAGGCAGGAGGGGTTCAGTGTGAATTAGGTGAAAAGTGATTGGGTCTTAGAGAAGACTGTTGCAATTGTCCAAGAGAGACATGATGTCTGGAGAGGACAGAAACAGCAGGAGTGGGAAGGACAGAGAACATTCACAAAGAAAGAGAATCAATAGGATGTGATGACCAATAAGCTCGGGACAGTGAGGGGATGGGAAGTGTGCCTTGTGATGGTCCCTGAGTTTCTAATTGGGTAACTGGGTGGACAGATGGTGAGATCATTCACTAAGATGGAGGAAACAGAAGGAAGAGAAAGCTCAAAGGATGTGTCACTGGACAAATCCACTATGTGGCACTTATCTTCTGATGTCAGATTCAGTACCCTTCTTGTCTTCCCCCATCCATCAGAACTGTGCCCTGCTTTCAGGTGATATGGTTTGTTATACTTGGAGGCATCATGTCATGAGGAGGCCAGCTCTGCAGCATACCTGACAATGGAAAGCCAAGTGCTAATGATCTAGAAAATTCTGAAGGAACTGAGACTATTGAGACAAGCTCTGGTCAGACCATTACTTGGAACAGATCAGTGTAGCCTGGAGAATCAGATCACCAGCTTAGTTATATAAGAAATGCAAATTTATTTTTCCAGAACTGAGCTTAATTACCTATAAATTTCCAGTCTCCATTCCTTGAACCTGTGAATTCTGGATCTCCTGCCACCTTCTCCTAGCTGACTTTGAGAACACTGCACATAGTTTGAGATTATTCTCTGAAGCCTTTGTGCATGGTGACCACAGTAAGTACAGTGTTCAATGGGGAGCAGAAACAATTTTGGGGAAACTAGACAGATTTACTCAAAGCTGATTGGCCAGTGACTAGGGGATCTTGGGTAAAGGAGGTGCTCAATAAATGTAGTTAAAGTGCATGTAACTGAAATAAGACACAGGTGGATTTAAGATACCAAGAATGTCACAGATGTTTTTCACACCCATTTTCTCACCTAGGAATCCCATCAAAAGCATTCTGTGGCCCTTCCCTCTCCCAGGACATCTATTCATCTGATAGATGAGTCCTTGCTGATGTTTCCTCGCACAGGTTGCACCCACAGCCTGTCCCCACTGGCTAAGTACAGTCCAGACAGTGTCCAGGGGTGTTGGGGATACAAATCAAGTCAAGATGGCGCCTGGCACTTTGCCAGGAGGAGTGGTTTGTGAAGTAACGCCATCGAGCCATTAAGATGATGAGGATTACTTAATGACTGATTGTTGTATATAGATGATGTTAATTAAGTTAAGCTGTGTGTAATTAGTTGGGTATATGTACCTCTGCCGTCCAGCAGAGAAGCGGCTCCTACTACCTTGGGTGCCCGCTACTTTGAGTTGTCACTCAGTTCCCGCTGAGTTCACTCTCAATAAAGTAGTTCCCGCTTCAACCTTCAAGTTGCTTGTCACCTCTTGGTTATTTTGCCCAGCGGGACTACGGCACAGGGGGAGCCCACATAGAGCCAGCACTGCCACTGGCCACATTTTCCTCCTTTGGAAGCCAACCTGTATTTTATTTACTCTGCCTCCATTATTTCTCTGCTACTAACACGTTTTTCCTGACCAATGATCAAGTTCATGCAGGATGGTAACATACAGTCTATGGAAAGGGAGCCTCCGATGGGTGTGGGCTGGGTTTTGGGTCTAGTGATGGTTGCCATTGGAAAGATTCTCCACAATGCCCAGGGAATAATTCTTCAGCAGGTAACAAAGTACTGATGAAGGTCATAATAAATGGCAATGGCAGGAACAAGCCACCACAGGGGCTGGGCTCCAATGCTCCACAGAACTCTGATTTCCTCATTGCTCCCATTTCTAGGGACCAACTCCTTCCGACATGGGCATGGTGAGTGTGGTTTGTGTGGTTCTGAAGAAGTGTGCCTAAAAGTGGTTCTTTTCAAATGCTGTACCCCTCCTTCTCTGCAGTGGAAGCTTGACCCACTCTCTTCCTGCATGTCTCCAAGGGGTTCTAGGACTCCCAAGGCTAGGGTTCCATGCTTTGCTTGGCAGCAATCACCAGCTGGGGACAATGTGTCAAGGGAGGGGGGTTCTCTGATTATCACCAGAATGACCCACGTGTCTGTGTGAGGGTTACCTGGATGGCTGTTTTGGACACTATGGTCCCTCCTTGCCTGGCATTTGAATAAGGATTTCCCAGTGATACCCTCTTCCTCCCTGCTCTCTTATGCTCAGGACTTGGGGACTGGGGTCCCAACCTTCCTGAAGCAGATGCCAGGAGTTCTTCGAAACATGCCCTTGGTCTCTGGAGTCCTGACTCTTAGGCTGAGCCTTCTCAATAGCAACTCTTTGGGATGTTGGACAGGCCACTTCAAAACTGTCCCATCCAGGGCCCCTGACTACAAACTTTGCTTCTGTAGAGGTTTGCCAGGCGCCAAAAACATCTCCGGTGCTCCAGTCAGGAACAAACAGCCAATGGAAACTGTAGCCAGGACCCCTCCCACCCTCCCCCAGTGGCCTCCTGGCCTCCTGCCTTTCTCTTCCTTCCCTCTTGCCTGTTCTGCCTGACTCAGAGTGAGGACCAGGCAGGAGACAGCATCAGCAGCATTGGGAACTGCAGAGAGACTCAGCCTGTACAAAGATGACTTGGCGACAGGTCCTTCTCCTGTCCTGCCTCTCAGCCGTGGTGCTCCTGTCTAGTGAGTATATGGGAAGGTTAAGGGGGGCTGTGTTATCTACATAATGGGTAAGACTTACCTTCCACAGGTAAGTGTTCTCAGCTGGACAGAGAGGCCATTCTTGGTGTGTGTGTGTGTGTGTGTGTGTGTGTGTGTGTGAGAGAGAGAGAGAGAGAGAGAGAGAGAGAGAGAGAGAGAGAGAGAG